AAACAAAACAAAGAAAACAGAAGGTGTGAGTAGAGAATTTGTCGACCTGTTCCACACTTTAAATCTACACCTACACACCTTACACAGAGCCATGCCTTCCCTCTGCTCCCCCCACACCCCACCCCCCGACCCCCCCCCCACCCCCACCATGCAGCACATACACTTTGCACTAACACAGAGGTCAGACAAAATCCAGTACACAACATCATCGTAATCTCTACAACAACAGCATGCTCTCATGTGTTCACGTGCCCAAACAACACAAGATATATCCATTTTTTTTTTTGCAGATTTGTTACTAATTGCACATCGTTTGTAGACTTTAGTGCATGTGAGAGTTTTTTTTTTTTTTTTTTTAAACGGGTGCTTGATTTAAATGTTACTATATCACACTGCAAAAGTTCAACTTGGTCAGTGGTTCCCAAATCTTGCAGGCAGGGGCGTGTCCAGACTTTTTGGAACTAGGGGGGGGGGGCTGACTCGTGCAGGGGTGGCCTGATTTAGGATTTAGCATTTATTAACCCCTTCCTGTCTGCACCGATCACATCGACTTTTAAAGTAACACAAGACGATACATCTTCTGAGCTGAATTCTTCAAGGACTCAAAACAAAAACATTTAAAGTATTTTGAAAATTGCAAACAAACTTTTGGCTTTTGCAACACATCCTGAAAAGTGGATATCAAACATATCAAGTCCCATCTCTGACAAATAGCCAATCAGAGTTAAGGATTTAGGGGTGGCACCTGGGGTGGCCAATAAGATTTCAAGGGGGGGCCCAAACCACCCCTCTTGACATGCCCCTGCTCGTAAGTACCCTTTGCCCAAGATTTTATGAAGAGACCCTTTAGGGTTGGATCGGTGCCCAAACAGAAGGGTGCCAAAAAAGTAGGACGGTACAGATCTCTTATTTTGGCGCCGTTCCAAACTTTTGACGGTGGAAACGCCAATAAGTGGGTACCGTATTGAACCGGACCACTTGGTAGAACCTGTTGTGACCGGTTTAATTAAAGAGTCCAACAATGTATTCGATTCCTCAAGACGTAAAACTTTAAAGAAGTCTACAGCCAAGCTAGTGATATAATAAAGAGAACAGTCTAGTCTTGCTCGTTACACAAATAAACATTAATGGATTGATTTCAGAATAATTTGTCTCGTTTTATTTAATAAGCAGCGCTGACTGGAGTAGCTAGCTTTACAAGTATAAGCGATAAATAAAGAAATTAGCAAGCTAGTTAGCACCTCAACAACGTACAGTTTAGGATTCTTTTAATCAGTCTTTGAGGTATTCATGGTGCCACTAAATTAAAGATCATCAGTCAGTCAGTGAGTTCATCCTCAGATGCTTTTAAACGTCTTTACAAGTTTGGATCATTGTTTAGCTTACTGTTAGCATCGCCGTCCACACAGCCTGACAGCTAGCATAGAAAGGCTAACACAAAGCCAAACTAAACATTTAGAAAGTGAAATCAAGGCCAGGAAGTGTAAGCTCGTTTTTCTCGTCGACTACTTGTGACCTCCTCCTCTTGGCGGTCCTGACTCGCCCTCCGTTTTGGGAACCACTGACCTGACACTCTGAACCCTCGAGGTTCAAACTGGGATCACAAAAAGGTGACGGGTATAATAAGTGCTTCAAGGTTCATAAACACATTTAAGAGAAACAATTTTAATCATCAGGGGTTTTGCTTCAGCATGCAAAAAAAAAAAAAGGCAGAACGGCGGCGAGTTAGAAGTCAGATTTGATTTCAGTTTACAAGTGCACTGCTGGAGTTTTTACTAAGATAAGAAACCTGCTTGGACTGGTCTTCCTGCTTTCCTCCCAGTAAGTAGCAAACACCGTCGACCAGTGTTCACAGCAGATTCAGACACAGTTTGAAATTACGTGATTTTAGCTTGAAAGCAAATGGCACGAGAAGGAGTTTTTTTTAAGCATAACGTGAAAGTAAAAGCAGAGGGGTCGATGGATTTGTTGGCTCGCCTCTTACTGGAACATGAACGATACAAACTGAGCTAAAGACCGCTTTTAAACATTACACCTCAGGTAAGTTTTTTTTTTTTTAAGGTAGGAGAGGCGCCTTGTGATAAGAGGGGAGAACAACTGTGCACAACACAGGTCAAAAGGCACAACACTGGACACGAGGGGGACGACGGGGAAACAAAAAAAGTGCTCCTCGATGAGACGCCTTCAGCAGCACGACTCAGATCAGCAGAGTTTAACTGCACGACACACAGCCGAGAGGAAAAACAAGTCAATAATAAAAACAAAACAACAACAAAGAAGAAGTCACATCAAAGTTCAGAGCTCCGGCGCCCGACTGAACGCGGTCATTGGAGCATGGCAACAACTAAAAGGTATAGGTTTTTTTTTTTCTGGCATTCTTTTTAGTTCATGCTGATATAAATTAACTTTTTACATGTATCAAAGTGATTCAAGCGATAGAATATGTGACGCCTTCTTTTCACTTTTTCAGGGGCAGTGATGATAACGGGAGTTCAGTCGGCACAACGGGCGCAAGTGAAATGTTTCAAAACTCTCCATCTGATACGTTCAAAACACGACTCAAACTTTGCGTTGAAGTCGCTCATGGGACACGGCTGCAAACATTCATGAAGCATCTGTGTACATTTTGATTCTGCGGAGGTTAGTCGATTCATCAAGGGGTCTAAAAACAGAGGGGGGAGGGGGGTTTAAGTGTTTTTTAAAGATATTTTTGGGCTCTTTTTGGACAGCTGAAGAGAGGCAGGAAATGTTTGGAGGTGACATGCATCAAATGGGGACGAGGTCGGATTTCAACCTACACTCGTCTTGCTAAACATCACAAATTTATTAGGAAAAAAAAAAATCACACGTTTCAGTCCCTCTCAAACTGTTTCCCACCATGATCTTTAAGTAGACAAAGCTCCGCCCCCTAGGTGTGCTCAGGTGTGGGACATGTAGTCTGCAGCGTCTTCTTAAGATCGTGGAGGGGGAACAGTTTGAGAACACACCTAACAAAGGTCCAGACGGACTGAAACGTTGTGATTTTTTTCTAATAAATTGTCATGTTCAAAAAGAGGAGTGTGCAGGTTTTCAGGATTTATCATGAATTATAGAAAAGCACAAATGAAATTGGGCAAACTAAGATATTATTAGAACCATTTTGTTTTCTTCTTCTGCATTCTATTATTGTCTTGTATAACATTACGAAAAAAATAATAATTATGATGTAAGAAATTAACTATGTTTGGATTGCCCAATAAACACAAAGTGGCAAAAATATTTTGCTGCTAAGTTGCTTACAGCTCTAACTTTTTGGTGAATGCACGAAAAAAGTAGAAGAACAATTAACGTTTGAATTTTGCACAATCACTTAAAAACACCGTTGTGCATATTAAGGCGTCTCTTTGGTCCCTCCAACATGTAAAGCGTCCTAACGTCCCTTAGAAGATTGTACATAAATGCAATCTATTTTTGTTTATATTATGACCTTCTTCACCATAAACTGACTTTACAGCGAGGCAATGTTGTTAAAAGTCTTAGAATCAGCGCGTGTCACATGAGCCGCTTAACGTCACGTATTAAATAAATCAAGAGAAATAAACTTCAGCCAAAATCTACCGGCACAAAAAAAAAAAAAACTTAACGTCTGAAATAAAAGCTCCACTCCGAAGCTCGAAGAAAGATTTGCCAACACTCGTCACCACAGATGCTACAAGTGCTGCACGATGAGAGAAAACACAGTTATTAAGGTTTTTAAAGCGAGGAGCGGCAACAGAGGCGGAGAGAGAGAGAGAGGAGAGAGAGAGAGAAAGAGAGGAGGGAGAGAGAGAAAGAGGGAGAGAGAGAGAGAGAGAGAGAGGAGGGAGAGAGAGAGAGAGAGAGGAGGGAGAGAGAGAGATATGAGTGACTCAGGTGATCACAGTCTAATCTCCGCCATGCCAAAACGGCGATGACGATTCACCTTCCTCATCCCTAATTACAATTTTTAAGATATGCAAGATGATGATATCTGGAGTTTTGTTGGAGTAACACAACAGAAAAAAACGTGCAGCAGCTGCGATGTTTTCAGTCACGGACAGAAAGCAGAGAGAGGCGCCGCAAAAAACCCAATCTCACATCCATGACACCCGGGCGGGAAAAAACCTTCGATTACAATAATACGATATTCTCTCTCTGTGTCCTTTAAATACATCGACCCACCAGAATATGTAAATATATATATAACAACTATGATACAGAAATCAATAAGTACACCATGTTGCATTCGATTTTTTTTTCTCATATAATTTCATCATGTAGCCTATATCGAGTTATATAGAGTCCTCACATGCCTTGACAAATTGTACACAGGTTAAGTCTTTTTTTTTTTTGAGTCTTCTGCTTTTTCGTCAGCGCGGAAATATCCAGAGATCGAGTCGAGCCCCAAAAACCAGGAAACAGAAGAAGTGTGTGTGTGTGTGTGTGTGTGTGTGTGTGTGTGTGTGTGTGTGTGTGTGTGTGTGTGTGTGTGTGTGTGTGTGTGTGTGTGTGTGTGTGTGTGTGTGTGTGTTGTTTGTTTTTGAATACACAGAACGTGGAGGAGACGCTGCAGCGGGACGGCTCAAACGCAGCGATCCCGTTCTGCTCCTGGCTCGGTTTTGAAGCGACGCAGTTTTACCTCAGACGTCGGGGGCCGAGGATTCCGGGAGTGCACGGAGATGGAGGCGGGTGGCGTCGGCGGGCGTCGGCGCTCCCCTCGTGTGCAGAAAGAAAGCTCTGTCAGTGTTCGTTTCCTGTTGTGGTGTCCTGCTGTGAGAGTCCTGAGGAGATTTTTCCCGCTGAGTCGACGGAGCCGAGCGTGTCAGAGAGAGAGGACGCACCCCGGTCGGTTTAAAAAGCGCAGATGAGAACGATGAAGATGTTTTGGTAGTACATCCTTCTTCCATTGATAACAAAAAAAGGGGGCAACAATCAGCACCGTATCCACACTGACCATCAAAAAGCTGCTGTGAAGAAAAAACCAACCTCTCACTCGTGATTCCTTTTTTTTTTTTTTTTTTTTTCCTTTCTTTTTTAAAATCCTCCCAAAGTGTCCCACAGCCTGCGATGGACGAGGACGAACGAGGAGACGAGCCGGGGTCCCGTCGCAGCTCTGAAGGACGAGGACTGAGGGAGGGGTGGGGGGGCGTCGTGGAGGCGTCCCCGCTGTGGAAAGGCACACCAGAGGAGGAGGAGGAGGAGGCGAGGTCATGAGGAGGAGGAGGATGATGATGATGATGCCGGTTGATAAAAACTGGGGGAAATGTTCTTGTTGTTATTTTGTTGTTGTTGATTAAGTGTGTTTGAGGATCAGGATCTCTTCACATCCGCGAGCCTCGCTCCTGAAGGATCTGTGACGACGAGACAGGAAACACATCACTTAAAGACATTTGATTTGTCACATTTGATGTCTCTGTTTCGTCACTACGGGAACACTTTGACACATTAAGTAAATAAATTCACTCAGATCAATACTTTTTAAAAATCTCTCTCTCGTTCTATCTGGATGTTTATTTGTATATTTATTGTTTAATGTTACTTCTCTGCACACATTACTCTGCTGCTAATCAAACCATGTGACCTTATCACCTCATCACCTTATCTCCTACTTTGTCACCTCATCTCCTACTTTGTCACCTTGTCACCTTATCTAACACCTTATCTCACACCTTGTCACCTTATCTCACACCTTGTCACCTTATCTCACACCTTGTCACCTTATCTCACACCTTGTCACCTTATCTCACACTTTGTCACCTTATCTAACACCTTGTCACCTTATCTAACACCTTGTCACCTTATCTCACACCTTGTCACCTTATCTCACACCTTGTCACCTTATCTCACACCTTGTCACCTTATCTCACACTTTGTCACCTTATCTCACACCTTGTCACCTTATCTCACACATTGTCACCTTATCTCACACCTTGTCACCTTATCTCACACCTTGTCACCTTATCTCACACTTTGTCACCTTATCTAACACCTTGTCACCTTATCTAACACCTTGTCACCTTATCTCATAACCGGTCACTTCAACTTTAACTTGCCACTTACTGCACAACATGTCTGAATGTCTCGTAAAAGGTAGTTTAGTTTTTTTAGCAGTAAATGGAGCTCAGTGTAAATTCAAGCAGGAGGACTGGTTATATTCTCTCACACAGTCTGCCCCACTGTCAAATCATCAAGTGTGTGAGGGATCTCTCGCTGACTTTTCCAGCCCTTTATGCCCCCTGTCTGTAAGTGGGCATTTCTGCAGACTTAGCTTAGGGGAATTACCCAGAGTTCATAGCATTGTGACAAACAAAGTAATAGAATGAAGTCAGAAAATCAGGCTTGGGATGCTCAGTCAATAGTTTTAGTTTCTCTTCACAGGATTTGTGATCAGCTGATTTCTCACCTTGGCCTTCTCGGTGGGCTCGATGACGATGCCGTTGGTGGAGTTGTTGAGTTCCCTGGAAACCACACATAGAAACTCCGCCTGGTCCTCGTTCCCGTAGTTATAAGAAGAGCCGATGCTTATAAGCTGAGGACCGGGGGAAAAAAAGGCAAAAAAGACAGGAAATATTTGGGTGAAAGAAATCTAAAGTTAGCAGTACATTTTAGTTGGCTTCATTTTTTTTATGACCCGAGGCCAAACTAAAGCCTGAAACTGTCGCTTTGAAACAACTGAAGCATCAGCTTAAAATAACAACAAACAGCTTCATGTTCTGCACCTGCTCAAACTTCCATCCGTCCGACATGGTGGAGACCATCTGTGTAAGCTCCTCCTCTTGGCACTGTAGTACTCGATACACGTGCTTCACGGGGCCCTGAGGGACGAGACACAACAACACCAAAAATCTGCATAAACAGATAAAAAGCTATTTTTGGATTCTGCTTGTCCTAATTAAGTAGTTTGTGGTTTTACAGATTCATCCAGCAGTTTCTGTTCCGGGTCCTCGGACCCTGCTCCGCTCCCCGCCTCTGTTTCTGTACTGAGAGGTCCGGTTCTCGTTGTCCCGTATCCTCTCTTTGACCAGCCTCACCAGAGACGCGATGTTGTAGAACTCGGCTTCCTCGAGAACACCTGACACAGAAACAAGACCGTTAAGACTTCACTTTAGGGTCTCCTCGCTGCTCACTGTAGATTGGTCTCTAAAGCCGCTTTCATACATGCACTCCTGAAAAGTTCTAGAGAACTTCAGGAGGATGGAGAAGGAGACTGCAGGGAATAAACTTCACCACCCCCCCTCCCATTCACTTGAGGTGAATTCTCCTGTTCATTTCCTGCTGCGGTCTCACATCAGCTCACACTGACTTTCTGCAGAGAAAACACCAGGCAACAAAATATTTTACCTTCCTCAGCCAGATTTTTATCCATGATCAGCTTCCCGTGTCGGAGGTAATTCAGGATGGGGCCGAAGTACGTGGGGTCCCTGTCGATCAGGTAGGCTCCTGTCTCATCCTGCGAGGAGAAAAACAAGGTTTACATTTTAAGGACGATTAATTTTGTCCTCCCTTTGTGAAACTTTGGAGAGTAAAATGATGAGGCAGATAATGTCCAGAAAAAAAAGGAAAGAAGAAGTTGAAAATGTTTGTGTATTTTTAACCTTTCTGACTTGAAGCCGATCAATGAGGAAGAAGAAATATCAGCCGTCTTGATCTAGGTGCTGTGCTGTTATTATTTCCTTGTTTTGTTTTTTGCCGTTTTGCATTTTCACAGAGATGCCAAAGATATGTCTGAGTTAGGTTGGCGGATAAAAACATACTCACTGTTTACTTCATCAGCGTCATGATTTCTGGATACTTTTAGGTCTCGTGTGACATTTCTCGAGGGGGTTTTAACTTGTATTTTATTGTGAGAAATGATGATAATGAGCCGGTGTTCGATGTGCTGAGTTTGTCTCTGTGGTGATAGAGCTGGCCGATACGACCTGGAAATCTAATCTCTGGTTTTATCACATCGAACTCAATTAACAGGTTAATCGATTTTTTCTTCTTCTAAAAAAATGAACAACAACTGAAAAGAAATGACTAAAAACAGGTTTTGCTTTAATTATAGCAAACTACATTTTCTTTTGGGGATTTATAAAGTTCTCTGAATTTCTCTTTCAGGGTTAAAGTGCACGCTGTAAGCTTCGTCTTCAAACTGTTTCAGGGTGCAGCAAACATGCAGGTGAGGCACAGCGACTTCACCGAGATACTGGATGGGTGGCACTTTAAGAAGTAAACGGGGGGGGGTGGGAATGTGAACTACGGGAGCCCAAGAGGATCAGCGGAGCAAGTTAAAGAGAAAATCTAGATCCTAGATTTTGATCCTAATTTTCCATTAACCTGATTTATTGATAAAAGCAGATTTATTGCCCAGATTCTGTCTAGAGCACCTGTCTTTGAGAAACCCACGTGAGTGAATATCTCTCTTCTAAAATGTGCCCCTGTTTGTCATTCTGTTAGACCTATAACTAGTTATTGTTTAATTTATGGAGCTTTGATTCTTGAAAGCTCTCAGATATTGAAACCATCAGAAATCTAGTTTGTGTTTCTCTCGGGTGAAATTGTGCCTTGGACATTTGCATGTTCATGTACAATGACGTTACTGAAAATATGTAAGCTTAAAGAAAACTATTTTGGGGCGCAGTGGTTAGAGCGCGTACCCCATGTATGGAGGCTCCTCCAAGTGGGCGGACCAGGTTCGAGTCCAGCCTGTGGCTCCTTTCGCCTCATGTCAATCCCCACTCTCTCTCTCTCTGATTTCTGACTCTATCCACTTTCCTATCTCTCTATTAAAGGCATAAAAAGCCCAAAAATAAATTTAAAAATAAAAAATAAAAATACAATTTCATCAGACAGGCGCATAGGAAAGACAATAATCCCTAAAATAATAGTCGGCAAATTCCTGCACACTGTCTAAGAATTGCACAAACATGTTTCTGCAGAACAGACATCGAGACGGAGTTTGTCTGCAACTGAAAACAAATAAATACCAAAAGTTAAAATATATATATAATTTGCACAAAAGAATAACAACGTGTACCTAACATCATATCTTATATGCGCAAGAGTATTATTATTTTTTTAATATACTTTTTTTTTTCCTTTTGGGGCTTCAGGGCCTCCGTAGATTTCGATTTAATAAGTATCGTGACATCCCTAACTCAAACTATGAAATAAATCACCCTGGGCTCATATCTGTGACTTCGTGTACTCACTTTGTCGGAGTCCAGGTCCGGGTCTTCCTGACACAGTCTGAACAGGAAGGATTTGGGGTCCCTGCACAGGGTCTGCTTCGTCGTGATGAAATATGTCCCGCCGACGTTCAGACGAACCCAGCGTGAGCCCGGCTTGTCTGCAGAATCGGACGGGGAGTTCGGGTTGTTCTTCCCCGGGAACCCGAACAACGACCGTCCGCCGCCGCCGCCGCCGCTTCCGCTCGACACCCCGCCGGGACTGAGCTGGCTGCCCCGCGGAGGGAGCATGAGAGTGGGCGACGCCAGGCGCATTGAGCCGCGGACGTCGCGGTGCTCCGGCTGCTCGATGGTGCCCGTGCTGCTCTGCTCCACAACGTGCAGTTCAGCCATGTTTTTGTGGGGGTTTTTTTTCTTCCTTTTCGTCTGATGTTACACTCACACGACCGCACGGTTAGCCGACGACCCTCTGCGGGGAAATGATTTCTGTGGGTCGGTTTGTAAACACGGAGGGGATGTTTTTGTTCTCCGACGGGGTGGCTCTCATCGGGGCGTTGCTGCTCACACTCGACCGCCTCCGCCTCAAACCACAAAGATTAGGACACGAACACGATTATCAACGAGCGACCCGACGTTCGCAGCATCGCCTTTAATCGTTTCTTCATGAGATAAACTGCTCATTCTCGTCTATTCAAAACGTTAATCGGAGAAAGGCAACACTTCCGGGTTGTAACGTGATTACTGTTTACTTCCGCCAAGCCCTTCAAAATAAAAGCAGATACACCAAATTAAAAAGGTTAGGAAAGTAATAGATGACATTTTAGAGAAAGAAGTGGAAAAGATTAGATTCTTAAGACAAACCTACTATGAGGGGGACAAAAGCAACAAAATCACTGGCTAGGCGACTGAGGAATGAACAACAACTTGGCACAGTTCATAAAATAAGAGAACCTACGTCTAAAGCGTTACTTTATAAACCAGAAGAGATAGAAAATGTGTTTGAAGAATATTATAAAAAGCTGTACTCGCAACCTGCCTCTGGAGATGAGGACATGGTTAAAGCGTTTTTGAATTCATTAGACCTTCCAGCAATAGGTGAATCCCAAAATGCAATCTTAAACTCAGATCACAGAAAAAGAATTTGAAAACGCAATTAAGAAACTCAAGTCTAACAAGGCCCAGGAAGTGATGACTATTCACCTGAATGGGACAGAATGTTAAGAAAGGAACTAAATCCAATGTTACTAGCATCATTTAGTCAAACATTAAAAATTGGAAACCTACCTCCCTCATGGAAAGAGGCCATTATCACAGTAATCCCCAAAGGAGGAAAAGACAAAGAATTATGTGAAAACTATAGGCCGATATCGATGCTAAATTGTGACTACAAGTTGTACACATCCATTTTATATAATAGATTTGAAACCTTTATGTCAGAATTGATTCATGAAGATCAATCGGGATTTATCAAGGGAAGACAGACGCAAGATAATATAAGAAGGACGCTACATATAATTGAAGAAATACAAAGAAAAGGAGAGAGTGCTATATTAATTAATTTGGATGCTGAAAAAGCTTTCGACAGCGTTCGCTGGAAGTTTTTATACCTCTGCTTGGAGAAATTTGGGTTCAACCAAGACTCAGTTAATTGTATTAAGACATTATATCAGGATCCAAGGGCAAGAATACAAATAAATGGGAGTCTAACCAGAGAGTTCAAGTTAGAAAGGTCTACCAGACAGGGCTGCTGTCTGACCCCTACGCTCGTCTCAATCTTTATTGAGCAGCTCGCTCAAGCAATAAGGCAAAATGAAGAAATAAAGGGGGTGGAAGTGGGAGGCAGGGAGCTCAAAATTGGGCTATTCGCAGACGATGTTTTGATTCATCTAAAACAACCAGACACCTGTCTTCCAAAGTTGATGACACTATTGGAAAATGATGGTTACCTTTCAGGATATAAACTAAATGTGCAGAAAACACAGATCTTGCCATTTAATTACACACCATCTAAAGAAATACAACAAACATATAATTTCAACTGGAGCAAAAAAAGCAATTCATTACTTAGGAATAAACATTACAAAAACATTATCCAAATTGTTTGAAATTAATTACAAACCCCTTAACCAGGAGATGTTTAAGGATATGGATAGATGGTCAGTATTGATGTTAGATTTCAGCTCAAGGATTGAAATCATCAAGATGAATGTGCTACCAAGACTCCTGTACTTGTTTCAGTGTTTGCCGGTGCAAATCCCTCCCTCTCAGTTTCAAGAGTGGGACAAAAAAAATTCACAATTTATCTGGAATGGGCATAAACCGAGAATTAGATTCCCTACACTTCAGACACCCAAAGACGAGGGAGGCTCGGCACTGCCTAACCTCCAAGAATATTACTATGTCGCTCAACTCCGGCCCTTGATAGGTTGGTGTGATGCTAATTATTTCTGAGTTGAACACGGAAGGGTGCCACGTGCAGAGTATGATTGAGAACAGAAACATGTATAAGGAAAAGGAGGGATTATTGAATTCAATCACTGGGTTTACCTTGGGAATCTGGTTTAAAGTAGTTAAGAAATACAAATTGGAGAATGAGGCAAAAGACTCTAAACCAGAGGTTTCAACAGTGGGCAGATAGAGGCATAACAATAATTGACACATTGATTGAAAAGGGAAAAATCAAAAGTTTTCTTAAACTAAGGAGAGAATATGACTTAGAAAACAAAGATTTCTACATGTACCTACAAATCAGAGATTATTTCAATAAGGAGATAAAGCCGGATTCCCCATGTGAATTAAACGGATTGATTGTAACGATATGTATTGCATTCAGAGGTACCGTCAAGAGAGTAATTTCAGTGTTGTATCAAAATATGGTGAGAAATAGAAAAACTCTGTACATTAGAGATAAATGGGAAAAGGAACTAAAGAGAAAAATAACCAAGGAAGAGTGTTATAACATGTGTAGGACACAGAGTAGAACGTCAAAATGTAGATCACACTCATGTTTTTTGGCAATGTGTGAAAATGACTGAGTACTGGGATGAAGTGTGGAAAGGAATGAAAGCAAGTTTAGGTTATGAACTTCCTAAGACTTGTGAAGTGCTGTATCTGGGAAATTTAACACTGAAAATATACAAAGCAAAGACAGATACCTGGCTGGAATACTACTGGTGGCATCAAAGAAAGCTATAACAAGAAAGTGGTGTAAGGAGGACCCCCCCCCCCCCCCCTCACTCGGAGAAACTGGTTGGACATTGTTGAAAAACGACATGATATGGAGAACTTTACACACAATTTAAGACCACAACAATCTGCATGCCAAGGAAAATGGATAAAGTGGAATGACTTTAAAACCCATCACAAAGTCTGAAGAGAATGGACTATTTAAAAGGAGGCAAAACTGACGATTGTTAACTGACACCAAAGTTTGTATACTGTGTTTGTTTTGATGTATCTTCATTCAGAAAAGCAAATAAAATATAAGTAATAAAAAAATAAAATAAAAGCAGATACAGACGAGGCGTTTAGTTTGATCAACTAGAAATATTTTTAAACAAATCTTAATAAATGTAAATGTTCTGAAATATAATATCACAAATAATGAATACATTTTGATAATTAAATTCATCCAGCATTAAAATATTCTGATTGTGATTACTTCTGTTGTATCTGCTGTTCCAGCTGTACATATATAAACAACACAACAGAAGGTCAACACTTTTTTATTTTTATATTCAGGTCTAATTACAGATTTTTCCCTCAACTGTTTAAAGGTTCTTGCTTTAAATGTCACATATATTTTTAATTGGACAGTTTAAGTTTGTTTCATATAGGGGTATTCTTTAAATCTTTTTTTCAGGTTAATATATATGTATGGGGGGGGGGGGGGGGGTCTGTTTTGTGGTTTAATCTGTAACAAATGTTTCATGTCATGTCTTTGTAACCTGCTACTGGATGCTTTGAATTTCCCTCTGGATCAATAAAGTATCTATCGATCTATCAATGTTCCTCATTAATGTTAGAATTTATAAAAATTAAAGAAACACATGATTGACATACAGAAATGAATAAAAACACATATTTATGTTTATTTTATCTCGAGACAGCAATTATGGGTAATCTCCAACCACGTTTAAATATTTTCACACTTCATATAGCAGTTAAAATAAATATAAGAACAACTTCTAATTAGGGCTGTCATGACACCAGAATTTTAAACCTTAATGTACTAGTATTTTTTGATACTAGTGCTTTGATAGACAAAAGAAAGACAGGCACTCTAGAGGACAATTAAAAACACATCAACAATCAGGCCAATCAGAGAGTACTATGCATTCTATAAAATATAAGGTAGTCTACATAAATTAAATAAATACTATGCAAACTATAAAATGGGATATAAAACACAAAAGTAGAGGTTGAATAATGAATTAATACTAAGCTGAAAACAACACAGAAAATATTAATGTAATTAAGGATTAGGACCGGTAATGAAGACTAAATAATGAGAGGAGGAAGATTCAATTTCAAATGCACTTCGAGAAAAAAAGTCGAAAGGTTGAGAATAAAATCAAAATTACAAAAAAATTTAAACTTAATTCTCAACCTATAGACTTTTTTTTCAACAATCTGAGTTTATTCTCACCATTCTTTGTTCTTGACATTTTGACTTTTTTCTCTAAGCGAATACTGGAAAGAATATCTCCCTCCTCTCTTATGTATTAATTAGAGGCCCGGCCTTAATTACGGGGGCCCTGAAGGTCAACTGTGCAAAAATGTAATGTTGGAAACATTTCACTACATGCAAAAATATTTCATGAAACACAAAAACATTTCCAAAAACAATATGTCAGGAACTGAAAAAATATTTCACTTGCTGCAAACTTTTTTTATGTCTGCTGCGAAATGTATTTCATTCATATAAAATCATAAAATTATTAAATATTTGCACACATGACCTTCAGGGCCACCATAGAGTTCCAACCTATTGGTAAGGCGGTCATAAAATTACAATTAAAATACCAACTTTTTAATTTCAATTGGCATGTAGGCCTGTACCTAAAAAAAAACACCAAGAAAGCCTACCAGCCTGCAGGGGGCAGCATTACACTCCCCAGTATCCAGCCTGCCGGAATTCCATCAGTAGAAGAAGAATCATTTGACTGCTGGTAGGCGCGTTTATCGCTTGTTCCTGCGTCGATGTTTGATGTTGTATTGTTCAAAACACAACTGACAGGTACAGTGCAGACACTTTGGTTACGAAAGAGACGGATTACGATCAAGCAGTCATGATATTTTACATCTATAATGACGTATTTGATGTTGAATTAGCTAGCATCACAGTTAGCATCCTCATCCTTCCCCCCCGGTTCATTCTCAACCGGTTTTTACTTTGTTTTGAGCTAGTTAGCGAGATAGCATGAAGTGACGTCACCGTGTATTATTACTATTACATGTGCTACCTCTGGATTAAAGTGTGTTGTTGTTGTTGTTGTTGTTGTTGCAGCTGCCTGAGCCATGAGTGAGTTCAGGATCCACCACGATGTGAACGAGCTGCTCAGCCTGCTGCATGTCCGAGGAGGAGATGGAGCAGAGGGGTACATAGACCTCCTGCAGAAACACAGGACCCCCTATGTGACCACCACGGTGTCTTCTCACAGTGCCAAGGTGGGTAACACACACAGTCTGAAAGCCTTTACACAACCTGACAGGTGAGGAGAACAGCCAATACACAAGGTACACACA